ATTGCTGATATTGCTGACTGGAATTTCCCGTCATAAGGAACATTGAAACTTCCGCTGCTTTCTTTTCTTCAGTTGGCAGTCTACCAGAGAGGGTCCAACCCAAATGAGATCCAAGGAAGTAGAGTCCAGGAATCACCTTTTTCCTCTCTGGCAAAATCAAATCACTGTAGTAATCATTTCCAATCAACAATTCCATATTGACATCTCCACTTCATTTGGGAGAGTGTCAGCAAGCTGATACTCCTTTGCAAGGAATTCAAACTGCATAGAAATTAATAGGAGCCCTTTGAATCATCCCAGTGATCTTTAGAACAACATTTGCTTGAATGTCCACTGTCTGTCTATTCTTTAATCTCAAACCAAACTCAACCACTGGAGTCTTAATTTCCTTGGGCTTTGTGGAGCCAAATGTGAAGACAGTCAAGATTTCAGTTATCAGATATCCGATATCAGTTGGAGTTTATTCACTAAATCGTCACTTATGTAGGTTCTCTGGCTTGCACAATCTAGCAAGAGTCGAGTAGACTGTTTCTTTGAAGTCTTGAGGTTCACATTATCTGCCAGTGCATCAGTACTTGTTCGCCGGAAACCAGTAGTGAACTTTCAGTTTCCGGTGCCATTTGGGGGTCAATAAACATAGTCAAAGTTTCATTTTCTTCATTAGAAGAAAAGCTTTTAGGACAAAGACTCCTGTGATGACTTCCAGCTTTATGGCAATGAAAACATGGCTTGTTTACTTTGCAGTCTTTCAGTAGATGATTTGGCTTCAAGCAAATAAAGCAGTTTTTGAGACTTCGCTGTGGTATCCTGACTTTCGGGGCTCTGAATCAATTGTGTTTGACGTTCTCCAACCTCTTGAGCACAAATATACCGCTTCAAAGCCTTTCGGATACTTTCCACTGTCCACTTCTCCTCCATGTCCTTGTACTCTTCCATCCAGGATATCACTGTCTTTGGCAGCCTTGACTTAATGAGGAAAACAAAATGTGGCTGGTCCACATTTTCACCAAGGGCGTTAAGAGAACGAAGATGCTTCTCAATCATGTCATAAGTTTCACGAAGTTTGGCAGTGTTAATTAAAGAGACAGGAAGATCCATTAACGCCGAGTGGTGAGCATCCATCATGAGTTCATCTCTTCCAAATCTCTCTTGGAGTAAATTTACCGCCACTTCGTAGTTGGTGTTAGTTAGTTCCAGACCAGAGATAACTACACTTGCATCTCCTTCTAATTCCGCTCTTAAATAGTTGAACTTGTCCACAGGCTGAAAGTTTGGATTCTTGTGAATGGAGGCTTCAAAAGAGTCCCAAAATTCTTGCCACTTCAAAATATTTCCATTGAATTTTTGAAGTTCCAGTTTGGGAAGCTTGATTGTGGGAGTGTGACGAGTAATTGGAACACCAAACTGTTTTTCCAATTCAAGACGTTGTTGTTCCATTTCTGTTTTCATCTTAAGTTCTATATCTGCATTTGTTCTTTTGAGCTCCATTTCCTTTTCAGCTTGAGCCAACTTACTTTTAGCTTCCGGTTCCGCCTCTAATTTCTTTAGTTCATGTTCACGCTGCTCGTCTGTTTCATTCTGCTTCAAAATTTCCAATTCCAACTTCATCTTTTCCATCTGAATCTCTTTCTCTTGATTAAGGTTTGCAAGGTGAAGGTCCTTTTCTTGTTGAAATTTTTCCATTTGAAGTTCTCTTTCATGAGCTCTTTCCCTCTGTTTTTCTTCCTTTTCAGTTGTCTCTTGTTTTCGTTTAGCAATATTTATCAGAAGTGTTTTAAGATCGCAAATAGACTCGTCTCCATCAAGCTCGAGAGTACTGAACTCCTTCATTTCATTTTCCAGTCGCTGGCTTTTAGCCTCGTCTTCCTTGGATGATTCTTGTAGCTGTTCCAGTAAATCTTTATAAGATTTGAGGTTTCCTTCCAACTTGAGGAGTAACCGATTGGCTTTGTTCTCACTTTCATCCAGAATAACATCGTATTGGAGGAAGGCTTGAGTTTGTTTAATTCGATCTTTCAGTCGCTTCTTCGTCGGACCTAAACGCTGACGAATACATCCGCTCAAGTTCCACGTACAAACGATTTACAACCTCACTCTGCTACCACATGTCGCCAAGGATGCGAATACTAAACTTTTGAAATAAACTTTTGTTAACACTACAAGAAATTAAACGAATTCAGTCAATGTTTGCTTCAACCACGTTTTTCAGTCACAGTTTCCATCTTTTTACTGAGTAGCCAAGTCTCCTTTAAAGCCAGGCCTCCTAGCTATTGTAGTTTTCAGTTCTCCGCGGAACTCCGCGACAGGTGGTGGTGGAGGCGGTGACGGGACGTGTTCTAGTAGACTTGACAGGTCGTGGTCGGCTGGTGGTCGTAGGCACGGTGGTGGTTTGTGGTGTGGTCGCCAGTGCGGTACGCACGCCTGCCATGGGCGGTAGACTGAACGGATTAAACGCATCTTCCACATTGACCGGGTACGAGATGTTAAAATCCTCAATCTCTTGATCCAATTGGGCTCGATCGACCGGTCCGGTTAGTTCTGTGACCAAGTCCGTCAAGCGGGTACCTAAGGGGGGTGCTGAGGGTGAACCCACACCTGCCGGATACAGGGTCGGGTTATCCATGCGGGCCGATAAGTCAGTTTGTTGTCCGCCTTCTCTTTGCCTGCATTGACGTTCGCGTTCTCGTTGCAGCGAGTTTTCGAACGGTTGGGACATCCACGGGCAAGGTATGGACTTCCGCTTGACCTTCTCGGGCCGTTAAATGACTCCCCAATCGGTAGCGATCATCCGAGGCAGGACGGACATCCAACATCAAATATCCAAAAGGGCGCGACGTGACGCGTTTAAATGGGCGCAAGATTTGACGCCAACGGCCGGAAAGACTTGAAGTAAAATGGTCCCTATCCCGTTTGATCCCGTGGGTTTTTGAAGGTCACAACGTAATGGGCATTGCTATTAATCGTCTTGGAGAATTTGCCAGGTGAAAATAAATCTTGCGGGAATCTTTGGTGAACAAATCCAACACGCGTTTGTCCTGTCCTCCTTCTTCCATCAGATGTCCAAGACCAACACACCCCCTCGCGTAAGGCCAAACCATTTCGTCAAATGACTAGGGTCCGGTAACCCGAGATGAAATCGAATTCCAATCGAACATGGGTTGCCATCGGTCATACGCGTACACCATGGTTTTGAGTTTGACTTGAAACACGCTCAGATACCGTAACCATTGTTCCACCAAGTCGCTCTTGCCGCTGCCCGAGGGTCTGGCAATGATCACACCACTGGGTTGGCGTATCATCTTTCCCGCGGTCGAGGTAGACGTCTGTAATGACCCGCGGCACCTTCAGCTCCCATTCGTTTATACCATTTATCGCGTCCCAATTTATAACCGATTTTGGCCGCTTTGGCCAACACGCTCATGATTCCTCGCTCGTTTTAACGAAAGCCTGGTCGTCGGGAGGACCGTGTTCTCGAGGCTCTTCTCCTTCTGGGAATGTCGTCCAATAGTCGTGGTACAATCTAGGGGACGCTGACTGAACGAGATGTTCCATATAATCCCTTAAATACGTTTCACCCATGGTGTCCATGTACGCTTTGAAGGACACCCATTCTCCGTCTTGAGCCAACTGTTGGGCCAACGTGCAATGATAGCCATCCCAAGCATCAATGCCTCGGACGGTCTGGACCCGTTCGATCGGATGCAACTACCAATACAGGGTTTCTTCCAAAATAAACGCATCGATCACGCGTTGCACATCGCCACACGTAATCATGGTGAAAAATGAGGCCCCCTGCTAAGGGACGTGCCTTTTTTATGGCGATGATCAGCCACACACAACATGATTGAAAAGTGTATCATGTCTTTTATTTTTACATCATGAACATTGGTTACAAATGATAAAGGCCTGTTGGCTCACATTACTTTGCCCATTCTTGTAATTCACGTTTAATCACCCGTCCCGTTTCAAGTCTTGTTCCCTTTTTGTGATCATTCAATACTAAATTATCGGTACTCCAACGTCCCAAAAAGTCCTGATAGGTCTCTCCTTGAGCTTTGGCTTACAGGAAAAATAACGCATAATGCCCACAGGTCTGACTGTCCATGGCTTGTAGGGTGATGTCACTGCGGGTCAGGTACTTCCATTGACTCAACAAGTGGTGCAAATCCAGGTCTTTATACACGTGCAGGGGTAGACCATAACTGTCAAAGATCTCGCACTTGTTTTGTTGTGTCCACAGCCCCAACCAATGTTGTCCGGGTTCTCCTGCCTTATCGGTGTTGACAATGTGAGCCGCTCGTACGGTATTGGTGGGTGATCGGGGTAGTTTGTCAGCTGGGTACACGCCTTGAAACACGCGCCGTAATTGAGGATCATCTGAGGCCAAGGCCCGCAACACAGTATCGCTGAGCGCTACAAACTCTATGGCTGGCTTCTTCTGAATTCTGAGGACTGTTCAGCCGTTGATGTTGTACTTTATACCTCCCAAATGATTGATCTCATAGACGTTTTCATACTCGCTCCACAGCAACACGGTGATGTTGTGATTGACGGCCGCTCTGAAGTCAATCACCAGTCGCACATTGCCCGATTGACGGAGTTTGCGATACTGGGAGTCATCAGCTTTTCCACTGGGCACATGGTTGAACAAAAACAACGTGCAGTTGTTCCGCTGTCCCCAATCACTGGGAAGCAGCATGGGAATCCTTTCTTCATTGTAAGCACCCATAGCCATCAGGAACCGGACGTATCCCAGCAGATCTTCATAGGCTTGATCCCCTTTCAGTTCTAGGGTTCTGTAAGGATATTCTTCTCCATTCAAAGTCTGTCGTACTTGGGTGACCCCAAACTTTTCAAAGGCATAGGGGTATCTTTCTAGGTCTCCATTGAAGGCATCGGAATGCAGCAAACCCACCATCACTCGATCGGGAAGCCGACCCACAAACACATTGTCTTGTTCCCACTGGGTGGTTCTGCCATCGAAGGAAAAGGTGCGGATTTCACTTCGAGCCACGGGGTAGCGCACGATCTTTTTTCGGCATTCGTCTTTCTTTTTGCAGCCTGACATAGACACTGGCAATCAAGGTCAATTTTCTCATCAGCAAGGTGACTTTGATGTCCTCATTATGGATGGCAAAAAATTTTTTGTCGTTCAAGGTCCCTTTGTTAGGGGTGCCCATCAAGTAGATAGAGTTGGGGTTCAGGAACAGTTCAAAGTCCGACTGGACACCAGGCACCAAACATTTACCCGCCTTGAGGGGTGGCAAATGAGGGCGGATGATGAGGTTGTGCCGACTCTCGCTCAGCGACCGGCTGATCAACGCTCGCAATTCTGCATTTCCACTCCAGTTCGCATTGGTGGGTGTATCGGAATTGGCGCCTGTCGCTCCCATTTCTTCAATCACATTGAGTTGATTGGCCCAGCCTTGAGGGGCCAACTTGGTGGCTCCTTCTTCTCGGTTGTAATTCAGTGAGGTTTCCACGTAGGCTTTGTAATGGTAGGTATTACTCTGTTCGGTCATGAGCACCCCATTCATCCTCAGGTTAATATCTCGAAAGATGGTGTGACCAAAATTGTTGACACAGTAGGTGTTTCTGGTATTGTTGCCATCGGAGTTGGCCACGTTGCCTTTCAATCCTTGATACTCAGCAGCAGGATCGGTCAGACGTACTTTGATTCGAAAACAAAGTTCGTTGAGATCGTAATAGTCGTCCGAAGCCGGGATGGAAAACGTGATGGGTCGCGTGCCTGTCAGGGCGGGTTGAAACGCCTCATCCCGTGAGGCTTCGTACCGGTAATCCATCAGGCACATCAGGCACATCAAACAAATTGAGCGACATGGTTTTTCAGCCCCAAGTCCACAATGATAGTGAAGGTGTTTAACGGCGTTTCCTTTTTATAGCGTTTCGGCGTCGGGCCATCGTGATCATCCATTGGGGGTTCACCCGGGAGGACGGGTACATCAACGGATAGCGCATTCGCTCCGACTTGCCAAAGATGGTCCCACCTTTCATCCTTCGGCGTTGCTTCAAGTTTTTAATCATCATGGAGTGGGGGTCCAATTATCGGGAAGACCTGTACATCAAGGGATAGCGTGCCATAGTGGACTTGCCAAAGATGGTCCCACCAATTTGATACGGCGAGATGAACCGGCCTCGGGCTCGGTGACGTCGAATGCGATTTTTGCGTTTTGAGAAATCCTCCAATGCGTACCATGGTTCACAGACCAAAAATATCCCGTACGCGTTGGGTGGCTCTTTGATAGGTGTTTTTAGCGGTTCGTTTGGCTTGGTTTTTCCCGACCGTCCAGGCCAGGGCGGGGGCTTTGCGTTTCAAGCCGCGTTTGAGTTGCGCTCCTCAATTGGACCAGGTGTCGGCCAAACTCTGTCCTCGTTGGATATCTTGGAGTCCTGCCTGGGCTTGCTGCGAGATCAGGGGACCAGCTATTTTCATCAAGTCTTCGACCAGACCTTTTCCCTCCTAGGTCGTGACCACGGGCGTGCTGTAGCGCGTTTAACTCCCTCCTCGCATCTCTGCTCCGTTTGTGTTCTCGACCAGGGTGGCGTTTTCGTTTTTATAGCTGTTTGAGTCCAATGGTCACGATGGTTTTCCCAGGCGGTAAGATGGCCAGGGAACCGTGGGGTGTGGTAATCTGTACTTCCACAATATCCAGTTGATTCCCTCGGACTTTGATCCTTTGGTGATGCAGGGGTTCCATGGTATTTTGACCATCACCTGTTCTCAATAACTGCACTTTCATGCAACAGGGGAAATTTGCCACTCCCCACCACGGTGGATTCCACCACATCCGAATACACCATCACTGTGCGTTTGCTCGTACCCACTAACTTTTCAAAGGAGGCGCTGAGATTTTTTAATTGCCATTCCACCATTCTGGACAGATGAAGCCTCTCGTTTTTCACTTGAAACACTTGATCCATCACCTCCCTCACCAGATCTGTTGGTTGTGTTCCGCATAATGCTCTCCATTCCAGTACGTGTCCGATCGATGCGATGGATCTGTGGGGGGTGTTTTGTCATCATAGGTCACGGAGTGGAGGGTGAATTGCAGCTTGGGGCCCAGCACATACCCCACCACTCCTTGGGGTTGGTCGATCAGCCCAAACTTTTCAGCCACACCCAGATCGACGGAAAACGCCGTCAGGGCCTTAGTCTTGTTGCCGTTCAGCAACTCTCATTTAGGTACAGCATGCAAAATCAAGGCATCTTCTTTCCAGGTCATGGTGGGCATCCAGTTCTTTTTCACACTGACAAGGGGTTGTTCATTCCCATCAAACGTCAAGGCGTAGTCTTGTTCATACATGAGTTTAACCATGATTGTGTTGTGCACTTCTTGCATTACTCGTTTCCAAAACAGGCTGCCAGAAGTCACAGGCTGTTTCGAACTCATGATTTCTTCCAATTCCACAATGTACTCCTTGGTCTTGAAGCTGACCCGTTGATATAAAGTACGTCACGCTAAATTGAATGACATTCGTATAAGGGTTCGGCGCGATAACGCCATTGCTCTGTTCGTGATCCTTTACGGTCAAGGACATCAACGGGCATACCAACGATCGTCCGGTAAGGAGAGACGTTCGGGCAGTCGTACCTTGAAACTGTTGTTGGCATTTTTGGGAAACTTGTTGGTCGAATCGCCGATGAGCGTTAAGCGTTGGATGTCACTCATGATAAGAAGGATGATCGTCTGAGGGTTCGCGGTCCTTTATAGCCACTGGGCCACTTTCCGTTTGCTGCGAGGGACACGCCCCACTGAATTGAAGGTCGATTGTTTGGGATGAAAACGCACTTGCTGAGCAATGTGGGGAAAGGCTCGCGCCAATTCCATCAGGGTCAGGCAGGTTTTTTTGGCCAGGTTTCTTCTTTCGCATGGCCGGATGACGACTGGCGCGTCGGAGTTGTTTCTTTTTGGCAGCAGTGTAATAACGAAGGGCTTGTTGACCAAATGCGACCCCAGCCATCCTGTTGACTTGGGTTCCTCTTTGTTTGGCTACTTCCTTGTTGCAATTTTTGGGGAACTCGTTGGTCGGATCGCTGATGAGCGTTAAGCGTTGGATGTCACTCATGATGAGAAGGATGATCGTCTGAGAGTTCGTGGTCCTATTATAGCCATTATCTCTGCCTCATTCGTGTTGGGTAGACTGTAACTTGCACGTGCCTTTTATAGGCGTGCCGGCCCATTCAATGAGTGCATAGGTGACTACTGGATGACGACGTATGTGCGTGACCACAAGCACTTCTTCTGTCCATCCCGGTAAATAGCCTTTTTTGAAGGGCCGATATTTCTTGTCGAGTCGTACGCGATCATCCACTTGACATTTGGGCTGGAGGAGGGGGGGGGGGGGGGGGTTGGGGGGTGGTCTTTTGGTCCAAGGGCGGGCCGTAGGGTTTGTCCAAGCCCCCGGGCCCTGTTTTTTTTGTGCTTTGGGGGGGGGCCATCCCAATCCTCCGGAAACCCGAGATCAGGCTCAATTTTGGTTTCGTTTTTTAATAACATTCCGGGGGNTTAATTTTTTCAGATAAAAATAAAACAGTCAGCACAATCACATTTAACTTCTTGCGAGATTAAAGGAGATCTCAAAGGTTATTTCTGTTGGGGTAGAAGGTAAAAAGTTTTGGAAAAGACGGTGACACGATGTTCTACTAGTTTTATTATTTTGGCTAGGAGCGCTCGAATTTAACATACTGAAATTTCTATTTTTCTGTTGCCTTAATATTTTCCTCGGCAATTTTTCCCGATTTCCAGTACATAAGTCTTTAAAAAGCTTGAAGAAATATATCGCGAACTTTTTCAAAGGATATATAAATTATTTCAGAACAAACCAAACGAGTTCTCAAGTGTATTAATGCAGCTGATTTAGTCCTGTGCGTACACTTGCAATAATATTTGTGAATTTACTAGAGAAGCAAACGTCGAAAAAATATATATTTTTAATAAATCCAGGTAAATATTATCTGCCACTAAATGCATACTCAGCTGACTTATAAACAAAACAAAAAACAATATTACAAACACACTTTGTAGTTCTCCTTAGTTGTGTTGTTGTTTTACTGCAGGTCTAAAAAGCTCGCTAAATTTATTAATCGAAATAAACAAACAGCAAACAGCCAACGAGCGAGGACACCAGTTTTCCTGGTTTATTTCTTACAAAAAGCGAAGGCAAACAACAAGTCTGTTACCTTAAGACTAGCGCCACCAGCTTTTATAATAATGCCTACAAAAATTCCTTGAACAGCGATGCGATATTTTTCGTCTAATACTTGACAGTTTGCGATTGAGGTTTCTTTCGCAGTGAGCCTCCGCTTGCGTACCCTATCCATAGAAGTCATTCCCGACCAAACTTTCAAATGAAACCAGTTTTAAGATGGACAGTATTTTGATTTGCACTCGTTTGTTGGTAAATCAAAAGGCACCTTGTTAGTGGTCAAAAACTTGCAGAGGGATTCAACTCCGCGATACACTCAAATTAGTTCCGTAACTAAAGCACATCCTGAGAAGATATGAACAACCATATGAATTTTCTGAATTTTCATGGCACATATTAAGACATATTTTCCTACCATAAGACCATAAAACAAAAAAGACAGCAAAATCGATCCTTCTCTCCGTCGACGGCGGATTATTCACGATTACAACTACGCTAGAAATAAGCGCTTTCAACTTCCGGCGTTTCCGACAGCCAATCAGATCTTGCGGCATTGTTCTAACAGCCAATCAGCGTTACGGCCAAAATCTGGCCGTAACGAGCTCAAACGTGCGAGAGTTTGTATCAGGCCCAATTTTAGCGGTAGCCCTTAGAGAGAATGTATGAGAACCGCTAAAATTGGGCCTGATCTCAGGTTAATACTCCGATGATAGGATTGATTGTACGTGTGGACCAGCGGTTGCAACCTTCCACGTACCGTAACGTATTGTGGGCTGTGAAGTAGCGGTACATCGGTTGTTTCAAGGTGCGATGCCATCGTTCCACCACGGAGGCCTTACTATCCCCATATGTCGAAAAATGATGTCAGCCGTGTTTCATGAACCACGCTTGGACCCCTGTATTGAAAAATTATTTGCCTTGATACGTCTGCACGCCGAGTGGCTGCCGTGGCGAGGCTTGTCGGCGAATCCCTTCCAACCCTCGTATCATTTCTTGAGGGCTTTTGGATTTGATAGAAACCGCCCAGGCATATTTGGACAGGGCATCGATCACGATCACGATCAACAAATATTTGTTGCCCTTATTGCATCGACTGAGTTTTTGCATGTCCACCAAATCCATCTGCCATTGCTCGTCTCGGTCAAATACCAGGGTGGGTGTGGTAGGGAAGCGGGTCCGTCGGGGTTTGTGTAGTGCATAACTGAGCACGGATTGGAGAATCTGTTGAGCTTGCGGGGTTTTCAATTGATCTGCTTTGGCAAACGGGTCTACCCCACCAAAGGCCCCGGGATCATTGGGATCCTCGTAAGCGCGTGGCAACGACATGGAGAAACTGACACAAGATCATTTCAATTCTCTTTCTTTAACAGTTTTTTTTTTTCACACATACATTGTTTTTTTCATAACAAGGTCATGCTACCATACTTTTTATGCAAATAGTACCTCCTCTCACTCTCCCTTCTCTGGGCTTCAGCCAATTAAGAAAACTGGTTCAACCACTGTTGATCAGTCATGGATGTCCAGTCAGTGGTGCCACGGGTCCCATACAGCGTTGGACGGGGCGTGGGCGCATCGATTTGTTCCCTACCGGTGTCCAGACAGTGTTTGTTTTTCAGGAGGGGGACGGGTGTTTCTTTGACCCTCGTCTCAGGGACGGTTGCGCTTGGTCTCTGGGACATCACAGCGGACCATAGAGCCATTGAAAATAGCCAAAGGGTTCTTGTCCAGGGAGAAAGCTACCACAGCTCAAAAAGACTTTGTTGTAATTCTTAGTCGTGCGACTCAACTTCATCTTCGCGGTAAACGCGCATTTGCACTTCAGCAACCCTCGTTGCAATTTGGCTCGCAATTGGGGATGGGTGTCTTCTTTCAGTTTTTGCAGCATGATGTCATGGGTGTGTTCAAACAAATACACGGGACACCCCTCTTGGGGGCACTTGAACCTTAAACTGTCAAATTCCGTTTGGGGGTTGAGACAATGGATGAATTGATGGGGATGAAACGGGCACGCTTGGTACAATAGGTCGTTCATTTTGGCCTCCATCCGGTCTAGGTCATGCTCCTTCCATTCACCCACTTCTGTGGCAGGATCCGGTTGCCACGTCCCTTCCTCCACACATTCTTCTTGGTAGTCTTTCAGGGTATGATCCATCAACTCGTTCAGGGTTTGGGGTGGTGGTAGTGGTACCTCAGCTCTGGGCAGCGCATTCAGGGCGACCACCAGTTCACTAGTAGGTGGTTGTGTGGCTTTGGTCTCTAGTTCTTTGGCTTTTTGTTCCTCGTTCTTTTTGGAACTGGCTCGACGTCGTTTGCGTCCAGCCGGCACGTCGGCTGGTTGTGTTGCTTGACGCTCCATGACTACTCACTCTGCCGAATGAATCTAACCTCTCTAACCCCGTTTCTTGTATAACCCATGACCTGTCTATCAACCCTCATCCCGTGATCATGGTGTAATGTTTTTTTCCACCAATCCCGGACCACTCCATGCGTCACGTGATGATGGTGTGATTTATTTTCCACCAATCCGGGCCCACTCCATCCGCTATAAAACGGCTGGTTTCCTGACTGTTCTCATCAGTTGGTTCCATCTCCGTTCTACGGTAAGTGGCTTTCATGTCTTTACGCGAAGTGGGTCTCTTGGTTTACAGTGAGGGTTCGCTGTCTCCCCGGATGAGTATATTGTTCGGGAACTGCCTTTTTGTGTTTGGACGGGACATCATCACGTGGTGTTCAAATACACGTTACCACTTGGACTGACGTACGACCTTTTATCCGCGGACGCCAAGACCCGAGTGGATGGTCAGACCAAGATGGTGCACGGTTTACCTTTTGAACCTTTCTTGTCGGATCATAACCGACATGAATTTTATCCTTACTGTCAGTTAAGGGACGATGTCATCCGCTGGTGTCAACAATATCTCACCCCAGAACGATGGCGGGTGGGTGTCTTCACCGTCAATGGTCTCTATCGATTGTTCCAAGAGCCACGGTTTTCTTACCTTATAGTCGTATTAGAAGGACAGGGATGCAGGGAGTTATCCAGTGTTCTCATTGCCACGGTCAACGTCATGGCCACCAACGATCATGGTCAAAATTGGAGTCACGATCACCTCCACGGGGAACGCGGTATCTGGCACGAAGGTTGTGCTCAAGTACGCGCCTGTCAAATGAGTGGATGGTTGCGTCGACACTCCAACGTGCTACCGACCCTATCCCAAGTCAATGCCCAATGCGTACTTTGGCAAAAACAATGCGATCGTCCCTTGGATGAGGTCTTATGCAACCATTGCCATGAGGGGACACAAATGGCTTTTACTGTAAGTGCAATCCCACGCAGAGATGTTTTCTTCGAAGGCAGCTAATCCGACTTAATCCCATTTAATATGTCGCGCTTCTCTAAAGTACGAAAGTTTACTTGCCGTGTATTAGTTTTCAGTATACATTTTGTTAATCTTCATTTCGCGCCAGAATAAATTAGTTTGCGCGCAAAAGGCTTCTAAAAAAAATCACAAGGTTTGTCCCACTTCGAGAAACACCGGCATGGTAGCTGGAATACATTGCCAAGGCGAAGATCTGGCGTCTTTTCCTCCTCGTCGTTTTTACTGCGCGACATTTGCTTTAATTGTTGTGAGAATGCAGTGCATATCGGTGGATTTTATTTCGTGTGGCTTCGTGCGGCTTGCTACTTATGAAAGAAGAGTGGCGGACTTCATGTCTTTGGTCGCCTTTAATTTGTTGTCGAATGCAAGGTAAAAGAATGGACTACTCTAAGGTAAGAATTGAAGTTTTAAATTTGTTTCTTAGCGAAAAATAGTGCAAAGAACTCGTGAAACCCGTGAGTATTACCTCTGTTATAAAATGCGATGACCCCTCGCTTTTTCGATGGGTAATACGATGGATACAAACAATAGCTTCTTTCGCAAAGTTAAGTATAATTTAGTTATCGAGACCATTTGAGGACGATTTATCGTTATATGCTTCATTACTTGGCTTATTCCGGCTACGTGCGAGGAGTTAGATGACAATGTTTGTGTGCTATAATTATGCTCCGATAATTTCTTGCACCTTTGCATTGAAACTCACGAAAGTAAAACTTGTTTTATCCTAGCAAAAAAATTCTTGTATTATGAACAAACGTTTAACATCTTTCGCGACCCAATATGATGTAAACTTTTTAGGGAAAACAAAGGTTGATTTTTGACGAAACCGACGGTAGCTTTTTTCTTTGAAGAGAACACGAGCCAAACGCGAGCTTTAAGCCCCGTGAGTATAGTGTAACCCAGTGATTTTTCAGGTATAGCTAACAAACATAGGCTCCACTTAAGGTGGCGCACCCATTTGTGTAGTGTAACCCAGTGATACTGTAGGTAGAGCTTACAAACATAGGCTGCACTTAAGGTGGCGCACCCATAAGTGTAGTGTAACCCAGTGATTCTGTAGGTAGACTGCTAACAAACATAGGCTGCACTTAAAGGGACTGGTTCACGATAATGCGCATGTGTGAGTTCTGACAGTAGCTGATTGTTTTTCAACCAATCGGAAGCGAGTTAGATGCACACAAGTAAATTCACAAAATTCAAATTAATTGTTCGCGACGCGAGAGTATTTCCGGGCATTTGGTTTGATTTTATTTATCCCCATAATTCAAGTTTATTCTTTGCTACTCCTCAGATCTATGTTGCAGCCGATAAGAATAAGATTTACAGCCCTGTCCTGCTTTGAAACAAACATTTACCAACGTGTATTTTTACGAGGTCGTACCCACGCTAACATAACAGTCACCGATCGGCAAACAAAATTTGTAAACAAACATCTTATTACTGTTCTCTCAGTTCGCCTTATATAAACCCAGAAATACCTACAAACAGCGCCTGACCGGTGACAAAAACACACAACGTATGAGTATAAAGATTATCCTTAACTGAGCATAAATTTCTATTGCTTATCAGCAAATGAACAAATTCATTCCCGTTGCATCAGGTCAGTGTTCCGCAAAACAAATGTTATCGAGTAGCACACATAAAGAAACTAGATTATAAACAGAATATTCAGGCAGTAATTTATTTTAAAAACATCAATTCTTAAACATATACAATCGTAAAGCAAAGATACAAGGAACATTTCAAGTGTACCAGATCGGTGAAGATCTCGCGGCCTGTTGCGGTATAACTACAGGTCGGAGTCAAAAATCAAATCAAAGTTGAACGAACTCATGCCTTTAACCACTTTCCAAGTGTCGTGTATTCTTTTCGTATGCCACACACTACTCTTAGAACCATACCAGATCGATAGGCTAAGCTTCTCTATCTCCAGAGACTCTTGAGAACGTCCTGTTGCCGGACGGCCACGATGCTCTTCTGCACCTCCATGATCAAAACATCATTTTTTGCGTCTTCTTAAAACGTAACCAGTCAAACGACACAACCACACGTTAATCACCACTACCGAAGTATAACTAGACCAGCCAAAGCGACGGATGTCCGAATAAAACGAAGGATTTTCAATGATTGTACCGGTAATGGCTGTTTCGAATTTAGTGTTGACCCGACAAATTTATTCTGAAGAGACAAACGGCGCGCATGCGCATTATCGTGAACCAGTCCCTTTAAGTTGGCATACCCATAAGTGTAGTGTAACCCAGTGTTTCTGTAGGTAGACTGCTAACAAACATATGCTTTACTTAAGGTGGCGCACCCATAAGTGTAGTGTAGCCCAGTGATTCTGTAGGTAGACTGCTAACAAACATAGGCTGCACTTAAGGTGGCGCACCCATAAGTGTAGTGTAACCCACTGATTCTGTAGGCAGACTGCTAACAA